CCCCCCCCCAACTTGTCATGTAAAGTAAATACATAGCCCCAGGAACGTCCCTCCACACAGAGCTCAACATGTTCTGCATTTATATTAGTAGCAACCAGGTCAATGGGAAATAAGTGATGGGGACCAACGCTTCCAGCATCCGATATGATTCTGATGAGTAAGGAATGTACGTTTTCTTTTGTTACAAGTTGCAGCTAGTGCTACCAACGTTATTTGTGTTGCTAGCACACTCACCAGTACTGCGGAGAGTCTTTTCCTGGCGTACGTTAGGAAAGTTACATGCTTTGTGGCCTTGCTATGTAAATGCTCCACCCTAGAAGTGAACATTGCTGTTCTAGATTAATCTGTACAACGAAACTCTAGCATCGCAATTGGTTAAAAAATTTGTGCTATGCATAATCATTTATTAGAAATTTTTTTCAGTATTTATAATGAATTGTGATTATTTGGGTATTCTTCACTAATAAGCTAGTGTCAAACATTCATAATGAGTCTTTCAGAAGAAATGCATTGGTTTTTCATTTTCTCTACTTTGGTAATTACTTTATTATGTGGTTTTATAACTATCTTCTTGTGGTCTCAAGTGAAAATTTTCTGGGTCAGAAAATTTATTTTATAATTATGTTCAATTAATTTTTGAAGACAGTCAATTTTCATAATTTTTAACACCAGTACACGAGTGCTAGGTTTTGTATATTATTTACTCATGATGTTTCGAGCATCTGTATGTGATCTTCTTCAGGAAGATCTGTAAAGGTAAAGCATTACAATTATGAACATACCATTGTACACTAAATACATTCTTGGTGACTCTACTCCTGGAACATGCCTCCACCGTCTCAACAGAAGAATTCAAGACAATGTCATCACATTTAGGCCAATTGCTGAATTAGAATACTAGTTTCTCCCTCTGTTCAATACAAGGAAAAATAAGTATATTGCCAAAAAAAATATGTCTATTACAATTTTTAAACATATTTAAGATGCTTACAGCAAAATTTCCCTACTTCAGTGAGAAAAAACAACAACATTTATCATGCTTTAGAATTCCTACCTCTACCTTATGGCATGGTGGAAAGAGACCTTCATGCCTAATGGAAATGGATGAAATAAATTTTAGATGCATACTTGTAAACCTTCAACAACTAGAACATTATATTTGAACATTTTTTGAAATGTATTACATCTGATTACAGGTAAAAACATTAATAATCTAACTTACATTCACCATTAATCAGTCAAAAGTATTCGAAGCATCGTCTTCAAATTATTCAGCAGAACAGACTACTTACGCTTTCTCTATAAATTACTCTGGAAGATAAGTAAGATAGAAGCCTTTAACTCCACTTTTTCACGTGTATTATTTATTAACGTGATCAAATTGAAAATAATGGAATACATTACACAATGTGAAATTAGTCTTGTTACTCAGTCCAAATTTATAAATTGTAGTAAATGATAACGACTGAATTTTTCAAGATTAACATACCATTTTGCACAAATTCTATGAGCATTTCAGAACATAAATTGAAAAATAAATGTCATTGTTCAAGCTCTATAATATCAAATATTAACCTATTATTAGAACTATCATAATGTTATGAGAGACATTTTGTTAATTGATAATTAAATGCTATTTAAATATCTTTTCCTTCAGATCACCGAAATCCTTTTGGTTTCAAAACAAGACACTCAACTTATTTCTTTTTTTTCCTTGTCACTTTTTTATTTCTCTCTATTAATGTTTTTGCAGTAGTTCTTAAGAAATGTATGAAGTCCATGGATGTGATGTGCAAAGTGCTTTCTGTCTATTACTTGATGTTTTTCCAGGAAGCTGGTTAATTTTTGTGATATGAATTTTTCAGATACTATACTTATTGTATTTAATATAGAAATTGGCCTGTAGTTTTCAGAGATTGAAAAACTTTCCCTTTATGAATAGGTCTGATTATGGGTTCTTTAAATTTATCTGGAAAAGTTCCCTCATTAATGCTCAAGTTGATAATTTTCATTGTAATTGGTGCTATTGAGTTACTATTCAGTTCTATACCTTTTATAGCTAATTTGTCAATTCCTGGAGCTTTATTACTGTCCTTCCCTTTAATTAACTTAGTTTCCTCTAATGTAATTTCAGGCAGGAAAAAAGTGTTACTCTGTTATTCTATTTCTTGGTAAGACTATTAGCTTACATTTATGTACAATCTTCTGTTTGCTTTTGAAAAGTCGTAGCAAATTTTTCTAATACATGATCAAACCTTTACCTAATTTTTCATTATGACTTTCACCAATTTTTTTTCTCTGGTTCTCCAAGTAGTTCATTTATTGTTTTTCAAGTATTTTTGATGTCGTTTCTGCTATTTTCAAATAAATGATTAAAATATTATTTATTTTAGAATTATTTTTGTTACATCATTTTTAGCTTTATTTCTTAGTGTTAATTCTTAGTGTATCTTTCAGTTCTTTGTTTTTAACTGAAGTTCTTTCCTATTTTCTAAAAATTGTTGTCTCTTTGTTTTATCAACTCATTTATATCAGAGTTTATCCAGGGTTTCAAAATTACCTTTCTTCTACTTTTGTTTGTTTCTTTAGAGACTAAGATATTATTAAAGATATATTTTATTACGTAGTACAGATCATTAGCTGTAAGGTTTTGAAGACTAACCTCATTTATAACTAACCGCTAAGAAGCTGGGTGAGGTTGACTTCACCATGCTCTCGGTTTACCCATGTGTCCAGTCGAGAGATCAATCTCTTGGTCCATTTTCCGTAGTTGGATTCTTCCCATTTTCGTTGCCATTTCTGTAACAGTAATTGATGTGCTGTCTTCATTGCTTCGGTTGTCTTTGTCGTTTTGGTTACGCCAGATGCTTTGCTCTTGGGCGAGAAGATCGATTGGAAGGGTGCTCGCTATCACTAGGGCCGCTGCTTCGGACACGGTGCGGTATGCGCACGAGACCCTCAGTGCTTCGCATCGTTGTTTTACATCCTTTTTTTTTTTTTTACATAACTGTTTTTGCCTTGCAGCCCTTCGGCTGCTTCTATTGCCCTCAGTTTCCGAGGTTGGAGCAGCTTCTGGATTATAGCTATATGGCTTACAGCTATATGGTCGACATGAGTGTACTACTTTTCCCTTTCTTATTTCAACCCTTGTGTAGTTTTTAATGCAGTGCACCAATTTGTGATCTAGCAAGTTATCCAGGTATTCAATTGTTGTTTTTTCTTCATTACAGATATCTGTATTGCAATCTCCGATTAGTAATTTGTTCACATTTTTCTCCGAATTAAAAATTTTGTCTGGTTTTTGTAAATAGAGAATTTTGCTTTTATTTGGTGGTGAATAGACTACATATATTCTTCAAACTATTATTTATGTTACATTTCATTGTATGTACAGAGTCAAAAGCAAAATAAAGAGTTCGATCAGAACTTTGTGGATGAGCGTAGGTTGAGGCCAATTTTGGATTGTCACTTGGGATTTCCTATTAAGGGCAGTTATCACACACAAGTGCCATTACCTCAAATCCACTGTCTACGAACCAAATGATAACTCTCTTCAAAACACGGAAGAATGTGGCTCCATCTATATTACACACAAGCAAAATATCTGTAAAGTCAAAATGATTTAGTGTATTCTAAATACCTAATAAACTTCGATTCTATATTTTCTATTTCCAAACTTCAAATAATGAAAATCACAAAATAAATCAATATTTGAGGCCAAACAAGGCAGTTAAGTTCTGAGTGACCGGTTCGCAAAGTTATTATTTTTTCATTGTAACTCACTTCCTTGGAAGGTAGTAATGCTAAACAAGCAGAATATGTAAATAATATAATTAAATAATTTCGATTTCATTAACATTTATCAAATCATGGAAAGGACGTAAGTAATGAACAATTACTTACAACTTGTTACTGTTCTAAAGATTGCAATACAAAATTTATAAGAATATCACTTAGATTTGAATCTAAGCGACCTCTGGCTTTAGCGAACTTCTTCTGCAGTCTCAAACGAGCTCTCTGGCGTTTGACTTTGACTCTCACGTAGCCGCGCAACTTATAAACTTAATTGGATTTCTCATCAAATTAGGATGGTATCACAATCAAAGCCTATTCTTTTTACTAACAGGAGGAACACGCAGATGCAGATAATTGCTCACGCAAGCGTCCCACGATGTGAATTTTGCAGTGGCTTCTCGGATGTTTCGACTCCTATAGGCGAGAGGGTGATGTGCAGGGCCCTCCGGTTCTGCGCTGAGTTCAGACGTGCTGGTGCATCAGCCCGATCATTGCCTCTTTCTGTCGTACTGCGTCTCCCAGGTCTATTCACAATTCCTTCCGTTTAATAAGACGAGAATGTAATTGTAGAGCTGGTTGAGTTGAGTTTAGCTGTTGTCTAATATTGTATTTAACCATATACAAAACAAAAAAAGAGAGCAGGAAGGAAACAATATGCCTTATATTAGAAATTTGCCTTCATCGAATACGTTCAATGCATTTCTATATATGTCTTATAACTTTATGCAAAATGTAATATTTTCTTACGTTTCTTACATGTTAAAATAGAACACGTACGAAACGAATTATTCGAAATCACATATATTTGTATACTGTTATAAGATTTTATTACATATATAGATACGACACCCGATGAATGTTGACGTAGATTCAGTAGTAGAAGTTGAAAGGACAGATGGCATTTTTAACAATCTTAGATACTATGCCGATTTGTTAAAATTTTTCTTACTACTCGAGTTACTTTCTTCTTGAATACAA